TTTGTATACATGTTGACAGACATTTGTGAGTACATTACTCGTAAATAGCATGAGCAACTACTGTACATCAAGCATGGCGGCAGTTGAAGTTAGAATTTCTGAGGATTGAAAACATGGAAAAAACAAACTGTGTGAATTGCATTTTGGGTTGTTTTTGTCCAATTTTTGAGGTAAAGAGCAAACTTTCTTCAATATAGTACTATAGATATGAAATACCTTCGAGTTTAGGTGTACAAAAACAGCAGTACAGTGCCTGTATTATTTTTTTGCATGAAGAATTTTACTTAATTGGATACAAGTATACAGTACAGTCCCAATTTGTGTTATTGACATTTTCAAATCACTCAAGAAAAAGATGTACAATCAAAGACCAAAGTCGTGTCGCCGTTTTGCCCGAAGAGTAAATATAACTCGTGAAACATGATGAAAGCCCCCTACCACAAGGCAGAGCACACCAAAAGTTTAGCCCTTCAGCATATGTTTCATCAAATTTCACGACATGACTTTTATCTTTCATTGTACTTATCGGTAGTTATCATTTTAGAAAATCTTATTTAGTGCCGATACCATTTTCTTGTGAGATGCATTTATAAACATGTTTCGAATATTAAGGAAGTGATTGTATGGAATGTTTCATGGGTGCTTACTCATTATTTGTCACTTAAAGCTATTGTCCATAATCATTTACCATTAATGTCCATTTTTTATTATATTCTACAATGCTTACAATTTGGTACCTGTATAACTCATTCCTCTCGCTAAAGATGAAAACTAAAGAAAAAAGTGTTCCGATGTTACAATTCCACAGAATAAGTAAAATTACAGATGTACAAATCTAATCAAACCTGCCTTGCCTAAGTCAGGTTAGGTGGTTAGCTTAGGTTTGTAGATGAATGCCTTTACCTGTTTTCTGCAATTGTAAACCGCATTTCCTTTCTTATTTTTCATTGTTAGTTGGCAGTGATATCTTAGTGTAAATGTAGTGGCAATAAGTATGCTCACTTTAGATTCTTGTACTACGCAGTAATAATAGAGCTACAGATTGTGATCAAGTAAGGCTTTTGCAAATATAACTTATAATTTTCTTAGGGATTGTTAACTCATTTTATTGAATGGAAATAATGTCACAGTACAAAATGTATACATACAGTAACCTCCTAATTCTACATGTAGTTAGCAGGGCCAGTCTCAGAACTGAGGAGCGTTGATTCCGAATTAGGTAATGGCAAGTAGGTACTGGTCTATTGTATACCGTATGCCATTGACTCCAGGACACTTTGATAAAAACTACCGTATGACTGTATTCAATTTGGTATTACTGTAGCAGGGAAGAGAACCAGATCATTTCTGTTAAAATATAAAATACAGTAAAGTAGTTGATTGGTAGATTTTATCAATTTCTAGCTTACTCTCTGGTTCTTAGTAAATTCGGTCGTCTTTTGGCTGTTCTGACATCAGAACCATTACTCATAAATACAGTACAGTACATGTATAGTGTATTTGTATAATTAAAGTTTTATGAACAAACTCCACAAAACTGCTCTTGTAGTGGCACTCCTGGTCTTAATAGTTACTGCACCTTATGATGTATTTCATGAAATGGGTAAAATAACCCGACCAAACTCTATCCATCTTCCATTTATTTATTTTTTATTTTTAGGTTTAATAGTTTACAGTATACTGGATAGTATTTCTGTGCACTACAGTATTTGGAATTCAGTAAATTCAGAAATGAGCAGCAAAATTTGGCAGCTACAGTTGTTATGAATTGTCAGGTGTGATTTTGTAATTTTTGTTACTCAGTTTAGTCTTTTCAAATCCAACCCAATCTTATTTACCTTATGAATCTTCTTGTGATACAGTGTCACAATCTTCTTAACCTGGCTTGAGTGAATCATGCAGATTTGAAAAACTTGCCCATTGTTACTGTTAGAATAATTAATCATGGTTTTAACACTTTGCTTTAACATTGATTTACCGTACCAGTCTTATTTGATTAGGAATTACCCATTATACAAAATTTTAAGTCTTAGTTGAAGTGGTGCCATATGTAATTATAGCATACAGTGCAATTTTAATCTTGAATATAGGCTAATGCATCTTCTCAAGGCGTGAGTACAAAATGGAAGCCGTACCCCAGCCTTGATATCATTACAGCTCCTCCCCGACTTACGACCTACTCGACTTACGACCACCTGCACTTATGACCTGCCTCAGTCGTACCAAAACTTTGTCAAATTACGTATTTTCGAGACCCAACGTCAGTACACAGACAAAATGTTTGTTTGTAATTCACTTTAAAATGGCTGGCAAGCTTAAAAGTGAGAGTTTTGTGGTGCTGAGAAGAAAAAGACACCCATTTTAGATTTTCTATGTATTAAGCATTTTCGACTTAGGACCTGGATTTGGGTCCCTAACCCCGTTGTAAGTCGGGGAGGAGCTGTATTTTGTTCTTGAGATCCCCAGATTTTTTTTTATGTGAACTTGACGAATAGGAAATATTAGTTTCATTACAGGCACTTGCTTAAGACATTCTAATTTTGAGCTTACTTGGAAGACCAGACCAAATAGTACAGTACTTGGATACAGAACTCACACACTATGGTGGATCTGGGTCATTGCACCAGACTCGTGACTTCTTCTTGTGACTCATAATGATACTGTACACAAATGAGAACTTTTAAGCAGACATTGTGTGTGGGATAAAAATAAATGTGTCTGCATGTGAGCTGAATCAAAAGCAAGTGGATATAATCATTGTAGAATGTTATTTTTAATCTTAATGGTTCCACACTACCTATGATACTTTTTTATAGTATTTATTTATTTATTTTTTTTCATAGTTTTCATGGTCGTGTAAATTACTTTTTAAGAGATTGAAAAAAAAAAACCCTACCTGTACTCATTTTAAGAAATGTACTCAACAGCCTTTTCCAAAATCAGAAACAATTACAAATGCTGAGTGTGGGTGGGAGGAGCAGGGGCAGTGTGAGTGTAATGATCAGCATGTTTGTCTCGCAAGCGAGCGGACCTAAGGTCGATCCCGGGCAGGGTGAAACTATGGGTAAGTTTCTTAATGCCATTTGCCTCGGGTCTACCCAGCAGTAATTGGGAACCTAGAGGTTAATCGATTTGCGGATCATGTTCCGGGGTAATGGTTAGCCAGTGCAGTTGGCGAGTTGTCCGGTATTCTCAGACTATTCCTTGACACTGGGTCATGCAGCTCGTTAACTTAGGGTGTGGATGTTGTGTTGGTGACAGCTTCTACACCTTAAATAAATTCACGCCTAGGTGACCCTAGGGCTGGCCATCCTTGTTACACGAGGGGCAACCATTACATTCAGTCAACCCGTCCTACTCCTCATGGCATTTTAAGTAAAACATTCAATATCAGCCCATTTCTAAGCCTCCAGATAATATCTTACTTGAACATTATGTGATCATGGAACCCAAGAGAGACACTTAAAATTAATCACCAACCCAAATAATTGATAATGAATAATTTTAAAAATTATCAGTCATTACCCGGTAATCACAGGACCAAGGGATGATTATGAATCCTCACCACCTTAATTGATCACCGAATAATCAACCCAAACATCATCATCAATACAGTAGATATCTGCCTTAAAGATCACAGCCAATAGCCATTGACGTTAAGGATCAAATAGGCAACTCCTAAGACAGTTGTTAATACTCAGACACCTGATACTGTATAAGGAGATCAGATGTTGCAATAGACTGCACCATTGCAAGAGTAAACATTTATACGTACTGTATAAAGTATATTTATCTGGACCTCATTTTATTGGTATACTGTACTGTATAGGTATATATTAAGTCATAAATCAATTGGTAATACAGTACAGTATATTAAGTGTCATTTTTTCAGGTCTGTTATCTGAATGAAAAGTAATCTGTAACCCATAGATTTATTCAGAGAAACTGCTTACTCTAACTGGGGAACAATTAACCCATGGATTTATTCAGAGAAACTGCATACTCTAACTGGGGAACAATTAACCCATGGATTTATTCAGAGAAACTGCTTACTCTAACTGGGGAACAATTAACCCATGGATTTATTCAGAGAAACTGCTTACTCTAACTGGGGAACAATTAACCCATGGATTTATTCAGAGAAACTGCTTACTCTAACTGGGGAACAATTAACATTAACACACCCCAGTTAAGGAGTTTACTAATATGGCTTGTAGCGGCAGTGTGTGTGGGTATTATATACACTGTTGATGTAAATAATATCAGTGAGTGACAGTGTGGTGGTGCAATACTTAAAGCCATAAAACTGACTGGTGTTGAATATTTTCCTTTTAAGATTGATTTTATGATAGGATTTACAGGAGAAGTTTTAGTGATATTGTGTTTAATAATAATAAACTGGTATCTGTACTCTTTATGTATACTGTAGCTACTGTATATTATATGGAAGGTGTGTGGAATATTTATAGGGTACAGTATCTTCATTAATTCATCAGCACAGAATTAATCTAAAATACTATTCATTTATTTTATATATTTTTTTATTTATCACGTACATTATTTGTTTCATGACTCATTGATTACCTTATCATAGGAGTGGGAGGTAACCTGCTGCCATACCCTCCATACATATATCTGGTATTCATTATTTCATATATTTCTTGTTATATAATCATCCTAATAACAGCATGGTAGGTGATGTTTTTTTTCAGTGGGTGATGTGATAAAGCAGATGACTCATGTTGTTCTTTCTTTGGTAACTGGGTTTGGTTTTATTAATGTTTGGCAACTCTAGTGTCACCCTGTGCCACTCAGACCCAGTTTAGGGGAGTCAATTTTATCCTGGATTATTCTATTGCAAGTTAATGTTATAATAGTAAGTTAAGTAACTGTGTGTTCTCCCTTTTCATCAGTTATTAAATGTGGTTAATAAATAGTGTATATTATACAATTTGTGGTTAAAGAAAAAAATGTTAGCAATGCAGTAAGTTGGCATTGGTTGGGAACACACAGGGGGTGGTGCTGTATTGTTTCACTAAGTGTGGGCTGACAGTGCCCTTTGGGTGTGTGTGTGTGAATCAAGTGTACAAGTGAGGTGTTAGACCCCTAGTGTGTACTGTGCTGCTTATTTGTGAACCCCCAGTATTGAACCAGTAAGTTACTTCTAATTCATTGTTCTTATTATGTCGAGTAGTACAGTAGTTTAAAAGATGTAGTAGTTAAACACAGGTGTATTAGGACCATCTCAAGTTAGTTCTTTAGGAAAGCATTTTAGTTTTATTGACCCTGATCCATACAAATGATTGGTAATCCCGAGTTGGATGTAATGTAAGAACTACAGTAACCCGAGTCAGGCCAGAGGTTGTGTGTGAAGCCTTACATTTATAGATTATTGAGGGGTGGGTGGGGTAGGTGCTGGCTAGGATTCTTATGATAGATGGGATCAACACAGTCTGGTTGTGCTTCTCTCTGTGTGAGGATCAGTTGTACAGTATACAGTATGAGGAAACAGCTATTTAAGGCTTGAAAAGGATGTCTAGACCTGCAGAACTATAATTATTAGAAACTTAAAATTGTGATTTAATTCAGTTTTGTTGCTCTGATGCTGACAGGAAAAAAAATATTATTCAGATGTTGGCCAATATTACCAGTTACAGTACTGTATTTTCAATAATTCATTTGTTATTCATTAAAAAATACACTGTGCCTGAACTAGTCATGTGCATATTCAACAGGTGTATGTGTTGTAAATGCCTGTACTGTATGTTCTTCTTTCCACTGTTCTGTTATTACATGGATAACAAAGTGTTCATGAATTGACTTGAAGGTTTTAGTCACTGTGAGAGATGATGGGTAGAGAATCATAGTTAAGGTTAGGTTAGAGACTGAGATTGGTTTTAGTTAAGTACTGTGAGCAGAAAGAGTGTGTGTGTGTGTATGAGATACTTTACAAGGTTTGAAATTCTAAAAGACTTCACTTAACACCCAGCTGGATAATAATAAAATAAGGTGAAATGGTGGGAGAAAGATAATGAGCCTTTTATTATTATTATTATTATTATTATTATTATTTTTATTTTTATTATTTAAGAACTCTTAAGTAATTAGTACTGTATTTTAGGATATGCAATAAACAGGAACCTAACATTAACCAGTAGGACTTAATTCCTACTGATCTTTAGGTTTGTTTATTGCACAGTAATTATTTAGGATTCTCAATTAAAAGAATTACTCTGTACATACTGTACATTGTAACCTCTATTTAATGGACTAAATAGAGAGGAAAGTCCATTATATCGAGGGTCCATTAAATGTGAAACCTTCATCTAACGGATTATATGAAGAGAGAAGCCTGTTGTTTAATTGGAAGTTTAACTGTATATAAACTTCTTGTGGTTTTTCTTAAAGTTACCAGTTTTATAAAATATTGACACAAACCCCAGACATCATAGGTTAAAGTTACCATTTCTGGATATGAGATTGTCTGAAACCATTACAGTAATTTCACTCAGTTTACCATTATGCTTTGATAGTGTGATGATTGTGGAATAACTAAGAGAAAGCAAATTGACTACAAAGGATAAAACATGTTTCACCAAGAATCCAAGATGCTGAATAAATTTGCTATCAAGAATTAACAATTGTAAATTTCAATAATAATGTTTGCTCACGTTATCATTGTAAGGTAAAAATTTTTAAATTGCACCAATATTGAGATTAATGAGTCTGTAAAGTTACCACACAATCGCAAAGTACAGTACAGTACTGTCTATTAAGGGGAGAAAGTGTTGACATTTGTATACAGTACTGTAAGAATCATAGGGAATGTAGGATGCATCAGCAGGTGGAAACAGTAGTAATCAAAGCATTGTGGTGTGGTATTGTGAGATTGCAGTGACAGTATTTATAAACCAAGGACAGAGAAGTATATGCACTGTTTTGAAAAAGAGATGGGTGCTGGAAGCAAAAATTTAGAACAAATAAGTTAATAAGATGGGAAAAATATAGTTTATAAGATACTGTATTATCAAGTTTCTTCCTGTGAAGCTGTAGCAGCTGAGAGAGATAACTTGTGGTGAAGAATGGTGGAGCAGCTAGTTAATAGACTTGACATAAATAGCGGTGAGTTATGGGGGTTTTGATGCACTCGGTGCTTAAGAGTTTCCTCAAATGAATTCTGAAATATCTTGTTCAGGGCTTGGATTTATGCCTCACTTTAGAATTCAGCTACTAGAAACACCCACTGTACTTGTCCCTGTAGAGTTCAGTGTCCTCACAAGGTAATGTTATGAATTTGTGTATGGATAGCTGTATATGCAGGGTTAGATACCTTCCACTTGTTGTGTAGTCCAGCTCACCTTTTGACTTCATTAACCCCTTGTGTATGGGGTCCCCTTGTACTGAATTAAAATGATCTAGTGTTAGCCCAATAAAATATTAAAAGTGGTGTCCCAAAGTGAAGGGGTTAATACTTGTACATTCTTTCGAGATACCTGTAGTTGCATTCTTGTATTGAGGTAATTTTTTTTCTCTTGGTAAGTGAATTTCTTTTTCTTTTCAGCTTCATTGAATTGCTAATAATAAGAGTATTGTACGGTATTTTATGGTCATTATAAAGCTCCATATGCTTAAACTGAATGTATGAATCGAAAGGAGGAGTACAGTCGATTAAAATGGTGCAGTGAAACTGAGAAACTATGAGATCAAGTATAAGTGTAGAGGAAGTCGAGAGTGGTGATAATGACTAGGGTGATGTGACATTCCTAAAGGACAGAGTGAAGGCATCAGAGATTGTGGGGTAATATGACTATGAATAAGTAAAGGAGTCGCCACTTCTCGTCCAATCGGTGAAGTTAAGAAATGTTGGGTCTGGTTAGGTCTTGGATGGGTGACCGCTTAGAAATAAGCATCTGGTGGCATATTGGACAGAGGGTAAGATAGCAAAGTCAACATAGGGGATGAATACAAAGAAAAGAAAAGTAGAGTCTGGAATGGGAAGTGAAACAACTGAGAGTCTAGGCATTTTGTTAAGGCTGTCAAGTCAACAGAAGTCTGGAGAAACAACAGATCATCTGAGATTATGATAGGCTGGCAAGTAGCTCTCAATGATATGAAAATAAATGTGTAATAAGTTGCTTAAGTAAATTCTGGTCAGTTTACATTGGAAATGCTTGGCGTGTCACTGCTGTCTTAATCCAGGGTGATCATGTTAAGTGATGGTAATAAGGAAATGGTTACCGAGAATATATTTTTGCTGTGCCGTTTTAATTTATTTATTCTAATTTATATAAATGTTCATTTGTATGAAAAAAGAGACGATGTATTCCTGTACTGTATTGCTTTCCTGTCCTGTAAAATAACTAGTAGTTCCTGCAGCACTGGTCATTTATTATACAGTATACTGTATATTTATTCACCACCACCATGTACTATATAGTGATCTCAGTTTTACTCTGGTATAAGATAAGGTTGTAACGTGAAGTTCAGCGGTAATGAATCCTGGAGAAGCAAATGTGAGGAAACAATTGGTTGTAGAAAATGGCATTCATGTATCAACAATAGAAACGTCAAAAGAAAATCTGGTGAATAATGTGGAGGGCTGTGGTGTACAGTTGTTGTACATGTTGGATATATCAAGTGGTGAGTTGCAGGTTTTTGGTGTACTGCGCTGTATAGTGTAAAAAGACTTGGAAATGCTCGTACAGTCACCCACTACAGTCCAGTCACTTCTGCTGTTTCATGAACCCCAACAACCAGACTTGCTAACCCAAAGCCTTAGACACTGAACATTTTTCTGTCCATAAATGCTTCGGATTCAAGAGTCTGAATCTCAGGGTTCGTGGTTCAGGGGGAGAGATGACTGGACTTTTTTAGGTGACCTTACCTTCATCAATATAAACTTCACAATACAGTGATCCCTCGGTTAACGAGCGCCTCGGTTAGCGAGAATTCGGTTAACGAGTTACCTTCCATAAGATTCTTAACTTCGGTTAATGAGCAATCCCTTGATGAACGAGTTTTTTACGAGCCGACCTCAACATGTTTTCGCTTGCATTTGGCGGTCCACCAGCTGTAGTATTAGTCCACCAATACAGTAATCGGTTTTAGGGCTTAAATTCCTTACTCTTTTAGTAAATATCAAGAAGTTTATACTATTCAATAATTTTAAAAGTTAAATATTAAATTTTTTAGTCATTTTAACAATTATTGAACATAATTGAAGGTAGGGTCACTAGTTTCATGCATTTCATCCAGCCTGGCAACACACCAAACAGGCGCCAATCTCTGTCTTTTCAGTGGAGGCAACATCTTGCTTGCGACTCTTCAACTAAACGCTTTTTTCTGTGTTTGCAAGCAAATTATTGGGCATTTTGAAATTTATTTTACATATTGACAATATATAATGCAGTGCAGTGTTGATTTAAAGCAAATAATCTTGAATTACACCAAGAGAACTAAAATTTTATGGGTGAAATGGCACCATGGGGTGACTTCTCTTCCACCCCAATGCCTTCTCTTCTCCCTTCTCCTCCACCCCCATTCTAATTTCCATCATCATCATCATCATCATCCAGGAGCCTTCTACATACACACCTCAAAGTTAGTGTACTTTTCTACCTTTTTTTGTTGAATTTAGGCAATTTTCGGTGAGCTGGAACCAATTACCCAAAAACCCATTGAAACAATGGTTTCGGTTAACGAGCAACCTGCTGGAACGGATTGTACTTGTTAACCAAGGGACCACTGTACAAGGTTATCTTCACAAGTCTGATGGAAACTCATTTATGCTCCTCACACATTAAAAGTACTATTTTTTTAATATGATTTCCTGTTAAAAAGTGTCTTACGCAACAACAGGAAGGTCTTGTTGATATAACCAGTACAGTACTTTATACAGTACTGTACAGGGTATAAGAATTTGTTCTGTGTAGATAATTGGAATTGTATGTTGTGAAATATTTTTTGCCTTTACAGTATATGAATCTCCAGGTACAAGGTATTAACAGTGCAGGTATACAGTAGTTGTTTATGTAATTTTACAGAATTATTTTGTACTTTATATCTTCCCTGAATTATTTCCAGGTCATATTTTAACACACTGTTGATTGATATAATTCAACAAAACATAAAACATGATACTGTACCTCTGAAAACATTTAGTGCATTATGTTATAGAGGAGGAATGAAAAATGCAATAAAATACATGGGCTGTACTGTGGTCATGCCATAGGGATAATCACTTGGGTTAATTATTGTCAACTGTCAACTTGGTGTGACATATTGAACTTGTGTACTGTATGTTGTTTGGTTAATCAGTGTTATACCCTTGACCAAAGGTTCCAGAGAAGAAGGTTGTAATGCTCTCCACAGTCCACACATGACAAATTTGTTTTTCACATGCAGTAATAACTTTCTGTAGTCTAAGAGAATATACTTGAGCCTGATATACAAATGCTGTATGGCAAGTTTATTTTTATTAGCAGATCATTTTAAGTTTAAGAATAACATAAAGAAATCTGTACTTCAAAGGTACACCGTAGGAAGCCTTAATCTTTTTATTTATGGTTATGTACGTACTGTATAGGTAAGTTAAAATGTCTGGTGTGAAGAAAACTTGCGTTATATCTCCAACATTTCAGTGAACAGTGAAGCAAATGCCCGGCGCATTGCTATGGTGGAGTCCTGCTTTGGGACGTCAGGACAGCCACTCAATGAACCAGGACGTGTCTTAGTGGGGGAGGGAGTGCTTACCAAGATGTGCCGAAAGAAACCTAAACCTCGACAGTTTTTCCTATTTAATGATATTTTGGTATACGGCAATATTGTACTCAATAAAAAGAAGGTGAGTCGTGTTGTTCTTCATATGTTTGTACTCCTTCTTTCATACAACCCAGCATTAACAGCATCATGTTCTTTCCCCAAATTTACTCAGCCTAATGCACTCTGGTCATTCATGTACAGTGATATTTCCTGGTTATATCCAGCACACTTTTCTTAGATCTCCAGCTTGTCTTCCTCATTCCTTCCAACTAGCTACCTATGAAATGTACAAAACTCTTAATGCCAAGCATTCACTCCCGAGTCTTTCAATGTGTTTATACTCTCTCTCTCTCTCTCACTTACTTACTTACTTACTTACTTACTTACTTACTTACTTACTTACTTACTTACTTACTTACTAATACACCCCCAGATATTTTAGAAAAACTTCACTTTATCCATGCTATTACAATGCAAACTATTAAATGAATCAAATGCAACTAAGTGTATGACATAGATGAAACTATATAATATTTTAAGAAAGTTGTGTTTAGAATTAATCTGTTGTAAATGTATTGGAATTCTTAATATGATTGTCAAGTGTAGTTTATGTGTGAACTTGGTATCTGTACAATAATTAATGTTCTTGGTTATATATTGGCAGTACAACAAACAACACATAATTCCCCTAGAGGAGGTCCAGCTGTCCTCACTAGAAGATGATGGTCGTGAGTATCTTCTCCTTCCTGTTAAAACCTAATCCATCCTACCCTAACCTATTAAATTATATGTAAATTCAATTGCATGTAAATTGTCATACATGTAAATTGAAATGCAGGGTACTGTATATGAAAATTAAAATATACTGTATGTAAATTAAATCATACAAATACAGTAACGAGTTTTAGAGATACTGTATTATACTGTACTGCATAACTCAAGCGCTTAGGGCACCTGTGATAGTACTGTATGTCTTTTCACGCCCAAGCAGAATTCCGGAATGGCTGGTTGATAAAAACGCCAACGAAATCATTTGCGGTTTATGCTGCCACGGCTACGGAGAAGGCAGAGTGGATGGCCCATATTAACAAGTGTGTCACTGATCTTCTGCGCAAGAGTAAGTAGCTGTTGGATATGAGTGGTTTAGACTAGCAAGGGCATATGTATTACTATCTCAACTCCTCTCAATTTTCAGGCTTTACTGCATGTTTTCTTATGGGAATTGTATAATGCTGGGGCTTATGTCCACATTTTCTGACATCATTATCGAACAGGAATGCTTGGGCTACGGACTGACATAGAAAATGGGAAATTGAGAAATCCGGTGATTCGCTCTTGCTATTCTAAATGCCTCGTACATCCTCCATCCTTAGGTTTTTGTTTATATGTCTAATAATTGATGTAGTAGAGCCCTGTTTGGGTTTATGCTGAGGTGGTTGCATTAATATCTACTTGTTGTTGACCGTTGAAAAGTTGTGGATTTCGTTATTTGAAGAGATGTAATTTTTCTGCTATTGTAGGAATTTCATATTTTAGGGAATAATTTTGATGGCCCACGTGGATATGATTACTTTTTTATGTAGAATAGTCGTAACTTTTGGATGTTATTGAAAAATTAAGTCGAATTTATTTAGTTGAGTTGATTAAAATAAGTTAAATCGTGAGACTTTGAATCACTTGGTAAAAATAAGTTTATAATGTAGTAAAGCATTATGTAATTTTGGCTGCAGTTCATAATAACATTTTAAACAGGTGGGAAGAAGGCAGCAGAGAAACACGCAGCTGTATGGGTACCAGACAGTGAAACTCAGGTGTGCATGCATTGCAAGAAGACCCAGTTCACTTTAATAAACAGGAGGGTAAGTGTCTGTTGTTTTTGCTGTTGATGGGTAGGTTACTGTCTTAATATCAGTGATTTTACCTTCTTGCAAGTAGTACACACACTCCACTCTACAGCTAAATACTAATAGTCAGATCTCTTGTAACAGAGCCTTGTTTAATAGATATTTGCTAAAGAGATATGAAACAAATAATAATTTAATAAATACAGTAAAATACTGTAGTAAGCACCACAGAAACAACAGTTAAAAAAATGTTCCAGTTACAAACTTAATTAAAACCATTTAACTGAATAGCATTGCTTATTTTGTGTTCTTTCAGCCTATAAGTTTTATGCAGTAGTACTATACAGTACTGTATTTTGTATCGTGTGAGTCATGATTTAAATTCCCTGTATGTATGCGTGATCAAAAAGGGAAGTAAGGCAGGAGAGAGAATCACTGTACTGTATTCCAAACACTACCATCTCCTATTTTTCATTGTTATGTCTTCTATATTTTTCTGTCTTTTTGTGTTCTTCCTATTTCTCTTTATGGAGGCAATTCTGTTACATTATCACACCTGACAGTAAATGTGTGAAACCTTCTTCATTCATGTGACATCTAGGCAGAATTCCTTGGTAAATGGTTTAAATTATTTTGCTGTCACACCTTGCTTTAAATAGGAAAGAGAGAGAGAGAGAGAGATTGATTATTTAGAAACCAGTATTCGCAAGGATTGATATTGACTTAGCAGACTGTTGCAGCATCATTGCCGAAAGTGTGGGAAGGTCGTGTGTGGACCATGTTCCAGTAAGAAGGTGATACTGACTCATCAGTCAAACAAACCCCTCCGTGTGTGCCTTACCTGCCACGATGAGATGTCCTCAACGCAATCACAGACTGGCAGTGCGACACCTATTAATTCAAGTAAGCCCAGTAAGATAGCTTGCCTCACCAGTTGTGTGTATTAACCTTACATTTATTTTGCTGGGGTATTGTTGCATGGAATGGGTCTCCAGAATCACGGCTTGGTTATTTTGAGTTTTTCTTAACACCTATGAATTTTTTGGGGGGCTTATGAGGTCTGTATGCTTGATATGCCCCCAATAGCATTGTAGTTAATTTAATAAGTAGTGTTAACTTTGCTTTATTGGGAAAACTGGATTGTGACTAGAATACAGGGAAGCTAATATGTAACTAAGTATTTGGTAGTGCTTCTGAGGTACTGCAACTTTCTAACCTCTATGGCTTTAGTATTAGTATTCCTCATCTTAGTCTTTAAATGTCTTTGCTTAGGTATATTACAATGTGGTGGCTTGTGTGGTCTACAGTGGCAGGTAGGATGGATGACATCATCTCTGAACCAGAAGATGAAGAAAGGGACAAAGATTCTTGTGATGAGGAAGTGACCATTGCCTTGATGGAAGATCCTTTTGAAAATCTGGGCCCCTTGCCACCACCTCGACGCCCAAGTCGTGCTCGCACCTTGGACGAGGAGGAAGACTCAGGGGAAAAGAGCAAAGAGGGTGATCTTATTGATATAAGCTGTGACTTATTTGGTGAGCCTTCTGGGGATCAGGATGACGACGCTCCTCCTCCAACTCTTTGGTGGGATGACATTGGTATGGTGAACAGTGCTCGCGGTAGTATCAGTGAGCGAGTACTTTCTTCTTGGCAACTTTCTTGTCTTCTGATTGGAACAGTTAACATTGCATAATATTTTGAATTGTGCTGCTGTGAGGGATGATGTGGCTGCTGTGTGTCTACTCTTGTGATGGCTCGTGTACGAGTTACTCTGTATGTTGAGGAAGGAACTTAATTTTTGGTTCATAGCAGTGTTTCAATATCTTGCTTGGTGTCGTCTGTCTGTGTTAGTGTTTTGTCTTTTGTCTTTTAAGTTATATTCTTTAACTTGTCTTTTATATGTAACAAAGTCTGTTATGTATGAAGGATCATGGTGTCGTACATCTTGAGTATCTGGGGATGTTTTAGGTTTGTGTCACGACCTGTGGGATTCATTGTTTAATTTTGTGTCCTGTTGTAAGGGATATAATGTTTTGTTTTAGGTAGAATATTGTAACATGTTTGGAGCTTGATAGTCAAATTGTCCCTGGTTGGAAAGGAGTAAGATAATTAATCAGCACCCACGAACATATACAAAGATGCCAACGTGTCTCGTTTAGTTTTGTACTGTATGTGGTGATGGTATATATGATTTAGACAGTTTTACACTTGTTTAGGGAGGTTTCATATCATGATTCTTTTAGCTTATTTTGGCATACCTTGTACTGGTGTTAAATGGAACTGTCTTGCTTATTAGGATTGAATTTCATAGAGCAGCTTCCTCACTTTCACTTGACTGGCAGCAAAATGATTGTCTCTTTTTCACATTGCTGTATCTGTCTATATCCTATTGTTAGAGAGATGTTGTCATGGACCACACTGCTGTCCCTGTCACTGAATATTACACAATGTTAATACTGTATTTTTGTCAGGTAAATGGCAGTTTCCCAATCTTGTTTCCTCCTGTACCTGTGTTAGGTCAGGACTCCCACATCATCCTCTTCTATGCAAACAAGAAGCTGTTGTAGAATATTGACAAATGGGAGCAACATTGTATGCTTTCATGGCATTGTTGTTGACTTTAGTAAGCTGTTTCTTGAGGATGTATTTTGTGTAATATTCACTGAAAATCTTGCTATGTTTCTGTACTGCTTTGCTTGTATTATTTTGAGTTGTAATTTTTTGTGTTTTCTTGTGTATTTATACATTTTCAAATTTTCAAAGTCTTTTTAGAACTAAGGGTCACTCCAGTATAGTGGTAATACTGTACAATGATTTGTGGTGCAGATACATTCCTGTTTGTTTTTTCCCCAGCCAACAAATATGATATTGTAATTATGACCCCACTTGCCTGAGTTTTAATCACACATCTGGTAGTAAACATAAGCATTTGTATATTCTTGGTCTTGGTAAAGGCAAAGGTTAAATTTGGAGATTGATGTAAATGTTAAGTCAATATGTGGGCGTGAAAGTCCTACAGTATTTTGCTTTTTCTAAATTAGACAAAAATATGGAAGGATGAATTGATATACAAAACACAATTTTCTATTTTGTCATACAATACTTTTTTTTAAAAATAAACATATTAATTAAAAACAAAAGGTCATAGATGAGTGGTTTGTGATCGGTGTGTAATAATTTTTTAAAAATAAGTCAATGATTTTTATTGGGATAATCTCATAGCATTGCACTTGGAAGTAATTCCCACTAACTTGAATAGTTCAGTTAAGTGACATGGAGTAAGTAGTATGTGATGTTTCATTGTGGAGGAGGAGGAGGAGGAGAATATCCCCACGTTTGTGTTTCTGAGTTACTTTTATACTGTTATATTGTCTGCCACTTGAGTTTCTGAAATTAAAACTTTAATATAACCAACTTTGCTGATCGACCCTTTGCAAAACCACTTCGTTTATGCCAGGGAAATGTATGTACGTATCCTTGCTAATGCTTCTGGCCACCTAGCATAGTAACTGGAAAAAAAATTGAAACAACTTTGCAATTTCATACTAGGAGTGACCCATTATATTGAAACATTGCATGGGTATAAGGTTAACATAGTTAAATGCACCATTGCAGGTTTAAGTGCAGTTTGGGAATTATTTGATGGGAGAGTGGATAAGCAAGACTATAAAAGTACACTAGAACGTCGATTTAAAGCGATTCAATTTAAGATTATTGATTTAAAGCGACACCCACAATTAAGGACAATGTTTTAATTAAAAGCGAATCTTTACTATTTTGCGCGAGTCAATCTGGCGCATCGTATTTAAAATTTTGCGCCTAATATTTCTCTTGGCATGCTACACTGTCCTAAGGGCAAAGCTGTTCTGTACATGTACTCAAAATAATGTACTAAATGATTACTAAAATTTTTGTCTAGTGCAAACTATAGCATGTTTATATTCAAATTGATCACTATCTTATAAGAATTCCAGCAATGCAAATTATATTCTCCCCGGTCACTTCTGTGACATTTTATAAGCAAAAAACATAAACTCAAGCTAAAGGACATAAATAAACAAATAAATACTTCGCTAGACCTTCGGCGAAACTGTCAACCATGTCACTGTCACTTCCTCCCCCCCCAAATCTTTCGAGCCAGGTTTTGGTGTTTTAGGCTTAAAGTTTTTATCTTGTATAATGTCACAGACTAAAGTTTGGTGAATATAGTTTGTATTGCTGGAACCCTTGCAAGACAGCGAATAATTTGAATACTGTATAAACATCGTATATTTTGCACGAGATAAATTTTTTTGCTTTTTTGTATTAAAATTCTTAAATTAGAACTAAAATTTGTCTGTCTAATGCAAGCTACAGCATGTTTATATTCAAATTAATCACTATCTTATAAGAATTCCAACAATGTTAATTATATTCTCCCATGTCAGTTCAGTGACATTTTACAAGAGAAAACCTTAGTCACTCTTAAGGACAGATAAATAAATAAGCACTATGCCTTGGCATCAACTGTCAAACATATCACCTCACCTCCCTCCCTCCCCCCATCTTACCAGCCAGTAAACAGACCACTTTGCATTCCTTAATTTTAGCTGTGTTGCTTTATGAGTGTTTGTTTTAACATAATACTACAAAAAACAATGTTTTGTTATTCTCAGAGATGGGCTGAGGTGCATCTGGGCAGACTCTCAGTCTTTAGTATTTTGTGTTTCTCTCAAGTACCAAACTAAATTATTCCATTGAAACAACACTTCAATTTAGTGAGAATTCGGTTTAAAGAGGCCTCTCTTGGAACGTATCTCGCATTATATCGACGTTCTACTTTGCTTAAAAACATGGGCATTTTACTGTGGTATTTTTTAAGTCTTGTCTGGTAATGATGGCAGGAGGGTAGTGCATGCTGTACTCTCTTACTCTTGGTTTTACAGACTTGAAGGACCCAGTGTCTGACGGCAATGAAGACGAAGGTTAGTTTCTCTAAAGGTGGTGTGTTTTTTTTTTTTTTTAGTATCTGGCTTGGCTTTTATTTCCTGGTATCCTCAGCAGTAATGACATGAGAAGGGTGGTTTGTGCATGCCTCACTGCTGTGTATTTCTGATTTTACAGATGTGAAGGACCCAGTATCTGACAACAGTAATGAGGAAGGTTAGTTGTTTGCAGGTGCTTCATGGAATGTCTTATTTTGCTTTCTGTTTATTTCTAATGTCTATAGAAGCAAGCTTCTTAGAAGGGTAATGCATGCTATATGCTTTCACTTTATGGTTTTACAGACTTGCAGGCCCCAGTGTCTGACAGCAGTAATGAGGAGAAAGGTTAGTGATTTAAGGGTGCTTCTTGAAATGTTTTATTTGGCCTTTTATATATTTCTAATGTCTATATAAGTACAGTTGTCTTATCAGAAGGGTAATGCATGCTAGACGCTTTCACTTCTTGATTTTACAGACTTGCAGGTCCCAGTTTCTGACAGCAAGGAGGAGAAAGGTTAGTGATTTAGAGGTGCATTTTGAAATGTCTTGGTTTAGCTTGCATTGTTATTGGTACCTTCAGAAGTAATATATTCAGTGGATAATGCATGCTATACTCTTCTGCTTTTTTGGTTTTACAGATATGAAGGATCCTGTGTCTGGTGGCAATAATGAGGAAGGTTAGTTCTGTGACAGTGATGTTGAAAATGACTGTTATAGAGTTTTCATTTGATGTATGCCTTATGATGTAATCTGCCTTTTGTTATGAGGTCATAGGAATTCAAACTAATACTGTAATTTTTGTGCCATATTTGTTTGTCCATCCTGAATAATTTAACTTGAAATGTCCAAAAGTTTAACAGAATTAATATCAAACTTAACAGGGAAGTCTCAGCATCATGTACAGATGTGTATATTATTTGAGTGTCATGCATCAATAAATAAGATCAAAAGGCAAAACTTCATTAATGTAACTACTGGTAGTCCTTCAGTTCAATTAACTTCAGTCATGGAAGACAATGTGTACGTTGTCGAATGTTATGATTTATGTGTCAGACACTGCTTCCTAGTTCTTTGTCTGGAGCGCGACTCTTTATCAAAACAGATATGTTTAACAAGACTTCATAAACACAGGTGTCATCACAAGACAAAACGCAAATTACTAAATTCAGGTCCATGTCATGGGTCAAGGTCACAAAAAGGTCAAAGAGAAAAGGATATTGCATTAGTGTGGACTTGGTTTCTTTTCTGGAGATTTCATTCATAGTTGTTATTATTATATTAAATACCTGTAACTACAACAACAATTATCACACAGATATGAAGGAGCGTAACAATGATTCATCCGGAGACGACGACTCGGACGAAGACACAGACGACCCCTTGCTCCAGTCCCCACAGTCTGCCACAGAGGTGAGTCTCCCCATCCTCAAAGTAACACGGTGGATAGTGCACTTGTATATAAAGAGCTTATATATATATATATGTTCATTATGTGCTTAGATTTATTGAAGGGAATTATGTTTCTGGGATATTAGTTTCATGTAGATGATCCTAAAATTGAGAGTTTAATGGTCGTAATAAACTTTGAGACGAGATGTGCAAATAATATAGATGTTTCTGACATTGTTTTTGTAATTAATTTTTTATTATGTACTGTATAGTGCAGGTGTACAGAGTATAATACCTGTAGTACACAATAAAAGGGAGAGAAATGTATGAATGGAAGAAACATTTAATTATTTTAGTAAAGGTTATTTTGGAAGGAAGGAATGGCTAGTGAATCAATGAGGAATTATAGCTCTGGTGACTTGGTTAAAAAAAGAATCAAGACCTGCAAGAGTGAATATTTCATTTGCTGTATTGTACAATGTGTATCACAGGGGGGTGACCCTTACAGTTATTAAGAGGCAAGATCTTTGGGTTTTTGAGAAAGATGAAGTAAATTTTGCCTATTTTTAAAAAAGGTGTCATCAGAATAAGAAATTTCATGGAGGAGTGATTAACCTTATACAGGAATTAGTATTAGGGAAAGCTTAAGTACTTATTTGTGTACAAGGTCCCCCTCTGAGCTCAATAAAATAGTAGGGTATTAGCCAAAATAAAATATTATAAGTGGCGTCCCCTGTAGTGAAGGGGTTAATATTTAAGATTTTCATGTCTTCTAGAAAGGTAAAGTAAGTTTAGAGGAAGGGGGAAATGATCAAAAGATTCCTTCCTTGTAATATGTATATAGTATTGCTAAAACAGTTGTTAATATCAGTGTTTAATGAGCACTATAGCCAAGAAATTAATTTATTTTTTATAGAGGATTTACTATCATTAGCAAAATAAGGATGAAACTCAAGGCAATGAGTATGAAGAGATTAATTTATGAAGTTGACTAGTCGAAGGAGATTAGATATGTAGGTGGACCAAGCAAGGGAGTGTTGATGCTAGAGGGAGTATGATAGACCAAGAGCCTCCTAACTATGTGATGTGTAAAGGGAGACTATCGTGTGCGTAGAAACTAAGAGATAGTAGGTGAAGTGATGTCTAGGAACCTGAGGAAGTCGTGTGTTCCGATAGACTTGGCAGATTGTACATATTGTGGATTATAAAGCAAGTTTGCCTTATGTTGAAGATGTTAGGTGAGGCTCTAGTCCCAAATTTTAACCTAAACTTCTATAAAACCCCAAAATAATATATAATTTCTCTTGATTTATTAACTAAACATAAAATTGATATATGAATTAAATCATAAACAATTTAGTAATTTGTAAAGGAAGATATACCAAGAAGAAAGTTATTTTACTTAATATAAACTCATCTTATGCCCAAATGAAGATTATATAACCAAACCTAAGCTACATCTGTCATATGCCTGGCAAAATTTAAAAATTAATATTCATCTTAATTGTGTGGAATTATCATACTGCTTGTTGGGTAAGATGAACCAGTACAGTGCAGCAAGCGTGAACTGAGCAAGCAAGATATTGAATGCTGGGAAGTGGTGCATAAGAAAACATCTTTGAAAATTAGTTGGTATTAAAAGCTTGTTTCGGTCGAAAAGAAGACCTTATTCTTTCCATTTTAATAAGCTTATATTATTATTTAATAATATGCATTCAGTAAATAAGAATATGGCAAAAAAATAAAAATGCTGCACATCCATCGCATTCATTATTCAAGTTTCAATGTGTTTCGTTTATACTGTGAGCCAGATTCATTATTCACTCTTCATAGCCCTGTTCTTTATTATTTTTCGTTTAAGGATTAGTCTCATAACATTATTTAATCTTACTATGGAAAAAAGTTGTTGTTGTGATTATCACTTTAGTATAATACAGTATTTGTGTTAAAGAAAGAGTAGCTTAATTGATGCATGTAAATGTTAAATATTGTAGTTACTGGGATTGTAAACAAGATTTTTATTGATAGTTCACCATAAAACATTAAAAAATACAGTATGAGTTCTGCAATATACAATGTGTGTTTGTGCACCTTGAATACCGACAAGTTATACTGTACAGTACCTAGTTTCACTGTATAAATCACTTTACTCAAGTACATTATTTAAGGGATGAGTGTTTTGTGGATTAATTAAGGACATTTTGTACCATAGTGTACAGTAATTCATTTGGGTTTGGATTATTAAAGTACTTGTGGAGAATCTTACTGTCTCTTCATCAGCAGTGCCATCTCTCCCTTGAGGAGCAAGATTAATGATTAATTTCCCTAGACAATGAAATTATGGGATGATTTTTGTCTATATTTGTTAGGTTTCATCCTTATGCTAATTATCCCTTTGACGGCTGTTTGTGGTAAATTTGCCATGCATTTTCATCTTATAAAAATAAAGATATGCCTGCAAAGTAATGGAAAATGAAATAAATCCATTATCTATCTTTGGTTGAGCTGTGGTGTAGAGCTGAATGTCATCTTTGTAATGGCTCGAACTATATCTGCAATGTTCAGAGTAAATGAAGATAATTAAACATATTTTCTTCTTATAAAAATAAAGATGTATCTGCAGTAAAGAGCTCTTTCTACCACACAAAGTGGATGGTTCCAGGTTGCTAGGAGATGGAGACAAACACACTTCCCTCCATGATGACTGTGTGTCTGAGGTGCAGCTAGGTGTCCAGGGGGACTGGAGGCCTATGATACACTCACTTCAAAAATAGTATCTTTATGTATGGGTCTGATGAATTTCAAAATAAACACTCCAACTCCTGTTGTCTCAGTAGGCTTGTCAAAATCCTTCATCCTTTGTCATATTGTCTAGCACAAAATCGTAAAGATACTTTGGGAGCTTGTGTTTTTAGTATATAATAAAGACATTTGGCACTTGCTGGCATATCATGCCCTTTATGGTGGATCACTCCTCTGACTTTTTGCAGCCAAAGGGTTAAAACCAAGAAGACTTGTCCTCTCTCCTTGATGTTAAGACTATATTGTTCCCTTGTACAGTTGCATCAGCTCCTATTTTTGGTTTGTTTCATAAATCCTGTCAGATGATATTTTTCAGAAAATTTTCTCTAGTCATTCCTCTAGTCATTCCTTTTGTCTTCATATATTCAAAGGAATTTTCAGTAAGCACAGTATTAGTTTACATTTTTGTCTCCATGATGGTTTTCCCCATGTATGGTGTATTAAATATTTTCTGTTCTAAGCAAATGGCAACTGCTTTACTAACATGATACTTAGCCACAAACCAACATGAAAAATTCGGTATCAGATGCTTGGGGCATTGCTGTAAGGAGAATATTGTACTGTACATATAGCAGTCTCCTTTGAAGGCAAGAATAGGCATTCAGTAGAGTATATGGAAGAAAATATGCAACATTTATTTTTCTCAATTTGCATTAGAACTTTGTTATACTACAGTATATCTTTAACAAAAGCAGATGTTTTACTTTTTTTTCCAGGACCTAAAATGTTTAATTTCACAATCTGTTTCTCATGCTCTGTTATTTTCTTACAGGAAAAATTGCCCTGGTTGTCTTTCTCTTTACCAATCTGTAACTCTTGATAAGATCTGAAGCAGGAGAAAAGCTCTATCTGACATAAAATATAGCATAAAAAAGTCTAGTAGTTCCATGGGGTGAGTCAGTTATATTAGGGAATATTATTGTTGTCATGGTGGTGGTGGTTCCCTCATTGAAGGAAGAAATGCAGCTCTCCAGGTAAAGATAGTTATTGTAATGCCAACAATCCTGATTTATTATTCATCAGTAATGTGGTCTGTCTTCCTTCTCACACCCCCTTTTGCTGCAATCTTCGACCTCAGCTCAAAATAGTGTCTTCTGACTGTTTTGACGTGTGAGTTCAACTTGCAACTTCTCCTCCTTTTCTTTATGCTTATCTCATACCACTGTGTATATGTACTGTATGTAAATGTGTGAGTCACTTGGGAAGGTATATGTATGTGTGTTTGTATGGAATTGGGGGGGAGGGTGTTTATGTACGAATGTGTTTATATGGGGCTGTATGGGCATGAATGGATGACTACATGTGCCTTGGTGTTTGTGTGTGTGTGTGCATGCATGCATGCATGTATATATGCTTGCATGTGTGGATGTGTTTATGAACATGCATGGATATAACTGGGTGTGTACTTTCACCTTTATTCCCCTTTCATTTTTATTTTTGTATTTTGTTTTTCCATGTATTAATATGCATCACTGTGTGCATGGCAAGATATTGTAGATTTTGTCCGAGCTTTAGAAGTACAGTACAGTTTACAACCTGGTTTTGTACTTTGCACTTAATGCCTTACAATCTTTTATGAAACAGTTGTCTAGTACAGTACCATGTTTTGTGTCGAGCTTTTGTACTTTTCTTATAATGCAATTTGTACGAACCAAGGAGTAGTACAGCACATGTAATATTCCCAACATTCGGTGCAAAAAGAGTCGTATTCCAGATAGTATTCACACAACTGTAACTACCAAGAGCAGATAATTTTAATCTTGGTGACCCAGAGGAAGCAGTTACTATACAGAATAAGTGTACAGTACAAACATTGAAACATTTATAGGATTTTTTTAGCTGTACAATATTAACTGCCCTAGATGTAAGAGTTTGTATGCTTACTAGACACTATTAAATTTTCATGAATATTGTAGTTTCTGTAATAGATCTGATTTAGTTTCCAGCTTTTTTTTTTTTCAACAATTTAACTTAATTTATTTACAGTACAGTATAGTGCATGCTGTTTACATTTTGAGGATGTATTTTTTTGGTAAGTGCCAGATAGAATCATTTAAAAATGATTGTGTAACTTATCTGGGTTTTCAGTATACTGTACTGTAGAGTAATCTCCCCATTAGCCGGAATCCCTGGTCCCCGCAACTCTCTAATAACTGGAAAAATTGTGGGAAAATTTTCTCCATTCTGGGAACGGGAACGAGTTTCGGAGGATGAAAATC